TCTCATGAATAAATGAATAAAATCTTAAAAAAATAAAATAAAAAAAGAATCAAAAGTTATCATCATAAGAAAAAATGCTAACTATGTATGGTGGTGGATGTTAACAGGGCATATTGTGGTGATCATCTCACAGTATACACAAATTGAATCATTACACTGTATACCTGAAACTAATGCAATGCTATTGTATTACCTTGACATGACATTTTTAATAAGTTAAAAACAGAAAATATATATGGGTCTTAGGAAAATAAATTTCCAGATTTAATAGCAAGGTAAAAACAAAACAAAAACAAAAAAACAAAACAAAAAGCCTTTCTCCTACTTTATATAAACTTCCAAATGAATTTATCACACTGATAATGGATGAAGACTGGATTGAAAAAAAAACAAAAAGAATGTTAAGTACGCCTAGGTGGCTCAGTGGTTTAGCACCTGCTTTCAGCCCAGGGCATGATCCTAGGGTCCTGGGATTGAGTCCCATACCAGGCTCCCTGCATGGAGCCTGCTTCTCCCTCTGCCTGTGTCTCTGCCTCTCTCTGTGTGTGTCTCTCACGAAAAAAATAAATAAATAAAATCTTAAAAAAATAAAGTTTTAAAAAAGAATGTTAAATATTATATGCAGAAGTGTTCAGTCCAATATGCATTGCACAGTAACTGCTCAGTGATGGTTTTTGTTTGTTTGTTTGTTTTTAGGGAACAGGGAGAGAGAATCTCAATCAGGCTCCATACCCAGCCCAGAGCCCCATCTCACTACCCTGAGATCATGACCTGAGCCAAAAATTAAGAGTCAGATGCTTAATCGACTGAGCCATCCTGGTACCCCACTACTGTTTTTATGCTCACTTGGCAAGTAAGCTTCAAGAGCACTTCCAGCAAGGTCAAGATTTTCACCAAAAAAATAGCTTAAAATCTTGTCATGCACTTGAATGAATTTTGGTTCTACTGAGGTCCCTATAGTTCTAGTTCGTAGCACAGAGAAAGGCAAAAAGTTAAAGGATCAGGAGTAGTCATCACTTGCCTTATCAAAACAGAGTCTCTGATTTCTTTCTTTCTTTTTTTTTTTTTTAAGATTTTATTTATTCATGAGAGACAGAGAGGGAGAAGCAGGCTCCCTTCAGGGAGCCTGATGCGGGACTCAATCCCAGGACTCCAGGATCATGCCCTAGGTCGAAGGCAGGTGCTGAACCACTGAGCCACCCAGGGATCTCCGAGTCTCCAATTTCTAAGGAGATTGATACCAACCAGGATGAGTTCTGTGCAAATGACTTTCAATCTTGGCTGCACCTAGAAAATCCAAACAATTAATTTAGTATCGCTTGAAATGGAACCCAGCATCAGAGTACTTTTAAGAGCTCTTCTGTGACTCTAGTGCAGCCAGGATAGAATCCCACCAATCTTTTATTTTCTTTTAAAGATTTTGTTTATTTATTCATATGAGAGAGTGAGAGAGAGAGAGAGAGAGAGAGAAAGAGAAAGAGAGGGAGGCAGAGAAGCAGGCTCCATGCCAGGAGCCTGACGTGGGACCTGATCCCAGGACTCCAGGATCACTCCCTGGGCCAAAGGCAGGCGCTGAACCACTGAGCCACCCAGGGATTCCCCCCACCAATCTTTAAGAAAAAAAAAAAATGACCTACGATGAAAACTAAGAATTTACTCCTCTAGGGGCACCTGGATGGCTCAGCTGGTTAAGTGTCTGCCTTTGGCTCAGGTCATGGTCCCAGTGTCCTGGGATGGAGTTCCACATCAGGCTCCCTGCAGAGTCTGCTTCTCCCTCTCCTTCTGCCCCTCCCTCCTGCTCATGCTCTCTCTCTCCAATAAATAAATAAAATCTAAAAAAAAAAATTTACTCCTTTAAATATTTGAAATTTCCTCCAAATCACCTGAGTCTCAGAGTATTTGCCGTTAAATCACTTTCTGAAAAGTGACCAACAACCTGGAACCAACAAACTCGTCCTTCAGTTGGGTGAGTGGATAAACTTCAGTCCATCCAGGCAATGAAATATGATTCAGCGCTATAAAGAAACAAGCTGCCAAGCCATGAAAAGACAAGGAAGCACTCTAGATGCATATTACTGTGCTCACTTTGGCCCCACATATTCTAGATGCATATTACTAAGTGGAAGAAGCCCACATGAAAAGGCTATATACTGTAGGATTCCAATGTTCCAATGTCATACCGTATGACATTCTTAAAAAAGGCAAAACTATGGAAGCAATACAAAGACCAGTGGTCGCCAGGGGCTGGGGCAGGGAGAGGTAAATAGAGGACAGAGGATTTTCAGGGCAGTGAAACTATTCTCTGTGATACTATAAAGGTGGATACATAGCCTTACATATTTGCCAAAACAATCTCTAACACGAAGAGTGGACCCTCCTGTAATCTATGAACTTTGGGTGATGATGATGTGTCAGGGGAGGTTCACTGGAACAGAGGTCGACAGAAAAATCTGGAAGTAGAGCAGAGGCCAGTCTGACAGCAAGGCCTGAAGAGGGGGAGTAAGGAGGCCCAGCTGATGCCCCCGCTGCTCAGCATCCGCGGCCCGAGCACTGCGGCCCGAGCACTGCCGCGGAGCAGACGACACCATGAACTTTAGTTTTAACTGCTACGTGTGGTGGTTGTCTCTCTCCCAGGCACACAACAAACATGCACTTCCTTGCTTCCTCTGAAATGAGGCATGGCCGTGTGATTGGACCGATAAACCATGGATGAGAGTGATGTGGCCACTTCCAACAGAAGCTTTCAAAGCCAACACATGCTTCACCACCCTGGGCTGCCAATTATGCCCCATGTTGAGAGCAAAAACTAAACTTGTTGTGACATCACAGGTCTCCAGATGCTTTATTACTGTGGCACAACTGCTATCTGCTGACTAATATGCTACAGCTTGAGACTAGACCTCTTTGGTCTCAGGGTTTCCCAAGCTCAGGACGAGTGACACCTGGGGTTGGGTGACACCGTGTGGTGGGAGTTGTTCTGTGCGTTGCAGGAGGTTGAGGGGCACCCTTGGCCCACACGCCCTGGGGGCCCGCAGCACCCCCTCCCCAGCTGTGACTGTCATCACACAGTGTGTTCACTTGTGTGAGGGGCCTAGAGAAGTCAAATTCACAGAAGCACAGAAAGAAGAATGCGGGTTCCCAGAGGCTGGAGGGAGGAAAGAACGGAGAGTTACCTCTGATCATGTACAGAGTTTCAGTTTTTTGAAGATGAAAAGGGGTCTGGAGATGGACAGTGGTGATGGATGCACCACAGTGAATGCTCTTAGGCCACAGAGCCAACCACCAAAATGAGGTCAGAACGCTAAATTTTATATTATCTGTCTTCTGCCACGATTTTCAAAAATAGAAGGGGTGAAATATTCTCCGGACATTGCCAAATGTCCCTTGGGGGGACAGCATTTGCCCCTGATTGGGAATCATGGTTCTAGCTGTAGAGGCAGCTTGTTGAAATCCATGTGTGAAAACACAGGGCCAGGGCTCAGCTGCTTTACACCACCAAGGATTAGGACTTCAACTCCCCTAAAATGGTTTTCATATGCTCAGATTTAAGGCCAGAGTTTCCACAACAATTAAAGAGCATGATCCAGAAAAGGCTCCTTCCTATGGACCCAAAACTTGATGCAGTGGGAATAAGCTCTGTGAAAACCCTTACCCTGTTTCCAATTTTTCCCTGCACTTGATAAACACAACACATTTGGGATTTCCTTCGGAATAATTATTCCTCAAGCCTCCTGGCTCCCCTCACAGACTCTGAGATGAAGGAGCCAAGGGGGGGTGGGGGTTGAAGCAAAAGAGAGATTGCAGGGCTCCCAGGTGTGGGATGCTGGCCTGTGACGGGTGTTCATGAATTTCACGTCCGGAGCTGGTCCTGGGGACTGTCCCCCAAGGCTGCTGGTGGCTCTGCTCTCCGGGAACTGAAGGCCAGGCTGTCCTGGGGGCTGCACACAGCCTGTCCCACCACCTCCAGCCCCTCTCGACCTGAGCTGTCTTGTATCCCAGCCCTGGGGCTCTGCCCCCCCCCCATTCTTTGCCATAAGGACACCTCCAGATCGCCATACCCGGGACCTTTAGGACGTGGAAGGCAGCAAGAGCAGGGGGCGGAGACTTGTCTCTGAGCCACGGGCTGGCACCTCGATGGCAGGGCCTCTCCCCTCCCGCGTCCACGCACATTTTCCCAGTTGACGCCGAAGCTGTTCCCCTAAACCTGTGTAATAAGCACGAACAGACTCCCCTCCTCTTCTGGGTTCCCATGGCCAGAATCCTTAACTAATCCTCTCCCCACAGAGTAGGCCCAGTTTCTCAAGCTGTTGTTTCAGCTGCTCGCTTCAACACCTGCTCTTGATTTGCTGAACGAAGCCACCCCAACAGGCCGCGTGGTCACGCTGCACCCGGCCCGCAGGGTCCTCCCGGCCCCAAACATGTCCCCATCTGGCTGCGGCACCTCGCCCCTCTCCTGCCCCTGCCTGCCCACCCTGGACTTACCTCCTGGGCTCCAGCCCCAGCCCCAGGGCCTTGCATCACCCATGACTTGCTCTCAGCTGCAAATCCTTGACCTCCCATCCCCAGGCTCCTTCGGTTATTCAACACAGTAGTAGCGTGTTGAAGACTCTCCTGTTTGGGGAAAGAAAAGAATAATCTTCCCTTTATTCCTGTCTTTCTCCAACTTTTTTTTTTTTAAGATTTTATTTATATATTAATGAGAGACACACGAGAGGGCAGAGACACAGGCAGAGGGAGAAGCAGGCTCCATGCAGGGAGCCCGAGGCGGGACTCGATCCCTGGTCTCCAGGATCACGCCCTAGGCTGAAGGCGGCGCTAAACCGCTGAGCCACCCGGGCTGCCCTCTCTCCAACTTCTTGAAGCAAAGTCCACACTTTTCCTTGATACTTGAAGATCAAGGAACTGCTCCAACTCCCCCAACACACAATTTATGTTTTTCCCGGGAACCTCAGAGTGTGACCTTATTTGAAAATAGGGTTTTGGCTTGGTCGTGGCCCGGCTGCTCGGCGTCGTCGGCCCCGTCCTCGTCCGCCCCGCAGCCCTGACTCTGTCTCCCTCCTTCCTCAGAGGATGTCCTCCTTCCAGCTCAACGTCAGCCCGCTCAAGGAGCCGCTCGGCTTCATCAAGGTCCTCGAGTGGATTGCTTCTATCTTTGCTTTTGCCACCTGTGGAGGTTTTAAGGGCAAAACAGAAATTCAAGTGACTTGCCCTCCTTCACTTACTGAAAATAAAACAATTACAGCTGCTTTTGCTTATCCATTCAGGCTGAATGAAGCATCATTTCTAGCACATCCAGATGTAAACGTGTGTGATGTAAATTGGAAAAACTGTGTCCTTATCGGAGATTACTCTTCTTCCGCACAATTCTATGTCACTTTTGCAGTCTTTGTCTTCCTGTACTGCATCGCTGCTCTTTTGCTCTATGTTGGTTATATGAGCCTGTATCGGGATAGTCGAAAACTTCCCATGATTGACTTTGTTGTTACTCTTGTTGCTGCTTTTCTGTGGTTGGTGAGCACTTCAGCCTGGGCTAAAGCTCTTACAGATATTAAAATAGCTACTGGTCATGGTATTGTCAAGGAACGTCAGCCTTGTAATCATCAAGGAGTGATGTGTTATTTTGGCTCCGTGACTAGTATGGGATCCCTAAATGTATCTGTGATCTTTGGCTTTCTGAATATGATACTTTGGGGAGGAAATGCATGGTTTGTGTACAAGGAGACCAGTTTACACAGTCCATCAAATACTTCTGCTTCCCACGGCCAAGTAGGTATTCCACCTCCTTCTGGAATATAATTATAAAGGGAGAAATACACTGTATGAAATATGTGACTATTCTATGACCTGTTGCCAACATCTTGAGAAGCATTATTTGTTTCTAATAAAAGTAATGGCTTTTTCAATAAATTGGTGGGTTTAAAATTTTGCTGCTTTTTTATATAAAGCCTGTGCCTTTCCTAGAAATTTAAGATGTAAGTGTATTCTCACATGTAAATTTGAAAATTCAGGGGTCTATTATGAGATGATACACATTTTTAAATGACTGGTTATTTCTTTACTAAGTTGTTTGCCTTCCAAAGTGTTTACACCTGAAGCCTTAACATATATCTTCACTCAGAAAAGAGTTACATTTTCATATAATAATAGGAAGAAAATCTCTATTTGGAATATACACTACTGTAAGTTTGTACAGATCATATACCTAAGACCTGTCTTTGTTTAAGAAAGCCTTGATTACATAAATCATATTTAGGAAAACATATTTAGTTCAGAATTTGTATCTGAACATTGTTTATATGTTATGAAAAAATGTTAATTGCAAAGACTGGTTGTATGTTTTATTTCTGTTTTTCTAAGTGATCTACAGTACTTAATAGGTGTGCTAAAATTGTTTTGGGAACGGGGTTTGGAAATTTCTAATAGATGTATAGTTAATATAGTGATTCTGTCGCATGAGGTGTAAGCTTCCATTATGCTGGTTGTTTAACAGACTTGCTGTATAAGTAGAAAGAACTTGGTTCAACTAGATATTTTGATATGTACGGGCATTACTCTTAGTGGTATTGTTTGTTGTCCTTTGTTGCTCATCCTATGTAAGTGCAGGCTGAGACCTAGTCTCCTTGCAAGTGGAATAAAATAAGCCACCTGTTTTTGCAAACCCTTTCATAGGGTTAAAAAAATTAAGATTGCCTTTTACTTTGGAAACATTTAACATTTAGATTCAATGAAGTTGCTATTTTGAGTGTAGTACTGATATTGTGAAAATAAATGGAATTTGGATTTCATGTTTCTTGATGTTCATTCTTATTTCACAAAATGGATGATTAAGGAATTATGCATCATAAACAGGAATTTAAGTGAGCTATATTATGGGTGCACTGTCTTTACACACACTTTGGGGTATATTCTGAATACAGGGACTACTCATATTTTGCTTCCTAATCTTTTTGTTGTACAGGGCCAGATTTCTTGTTCTTAACACGTGATTGTTTATATGTGAAGCACATCTTGCTGTTGCCTTATTTTTTGTTGCTTTTGTTCATGACAAGAATTGTCAATATGAGAATGTATATCTTTTGTGCAACAAACTTAATAAAGAAGTTAAAAGAAAAAAAAAGAAAATAGGGTTTTGCAGATATAATTAGTTAAGTTAGTAAATTAATGAAGACACTGGTCCAACGTGACCAGTGTTTTTTTTTTTTTAAGATTTGATTTATTTATTCATGAGAGACACAGAGAGAGAGGCAGAGACATAGGCAGAGAAGGAGGCTCCCCGTGGGAAGCCCGGTGCAGGACTCCATCCCACGACCCCCGGGATCATGCTCTGAGGTGAAGGCAGACGCTCCACCACTGAGCCACCCAGGCATCCCAGACCAGTGTCTCCTTCCTTCCTTCCTTCCTTCCTTCTTCCTTCCTTCCTTCCTTCCTTCTTCCTTCTTTCTTTCTTTCTTTCTTTCTTTCTTTCTTTTCTTTCTTCTTTCTTTCTTTCTTTTCTTTCTTTCTTTCTCTTTCTTTCTTCTTTCTTCTCTTTCTTCTTCCTTTCTTCTTTTTCCTCTTCTCTTTCTTTCTCTTTTCTTTCTCTTTCTTCCTTTCTTCTTTTTCCTTTCTTTCCTTCTTTCTTCCTTTTTTTTACATTTTTTAAAATTTAAATTCAATTTGCCAACATATAGTATAACACCCAGTGCTCATCCTGTCAAGTGCCCTCCTCAGTGCCTGTCACCCAGTCACCCTATCCCCGCACCCCCCTCCCCTTCCACAACCCTTTGTTTCCCAGAGTTAGGGGTCTCTCCTGGTTTGTCTCCTTCTCTAATTGTTCCCCACTCAGACCAGTGTCTTTCTAAGAAGAGGCCAGGAGTCGCACACAGCACTCAGGGAGAATGTCTCATGACGATGAAGGCATAGATTGGGGCATGGTGTCCACAAGCCAAGGAACCCCAAGGATTGCTGGCAGCACCAGAAACTAAAACAAAGGCATGGAATAGACCTTTCTTAGAGCATTAAGAGGCCCTTTGGGCACCTTGACTTCAGACTTCTAGCCTCCAGGACTCAGAGAGAGGAAATGGCTTTGGTTTTAAGCCACATGGCTTGAGGTGCTTTGTGGTGGCAGCCCCAGGAAACTGAGATACCCTATAGGTCACCCTTATCTTCCTCTGGCTCTGAGTCTTCTGCATGTGACCTGCTAGTGCCAAATCCAGTGAACAGACTTCAAGACTTGGCTCCTGGGGACGCCTGGGTGGCTCCATGGTTGGGCATCTGCCTTTGGCTCAGGTTGTGATCCCGGGGTCCTGGGATCCAGTCCCGTATCGGGCTCCCCGCAGGTAGCCTGCTTCTCCCTCTGCCTGTGTCTCTGCCTCTCTCTGTGTGCCTCTCATGAATAAATAAATAAAATCTTAAAAAAATATAAAAATAATAAACCTGTAAACCACCATGGAAGTGACAGCCACAGATGCAGACCATGGCAGGAGGTGTTACACCATGAATTTTGATTCAAATACCATATGTGTTTTTTTTTCTGGGGTGGGACTGTCTGGTATATTTCGGGATGTTCACTAACCCTAAATATCACCCAGGGGGACCTGGGTGGATCAGTCATTTAAGCGTCTGACTCCTGATTTTGGCTCAGGTGAGGATCTCAGTGTTGTGAGATGGAGCCCTGCATTAGGCTTGGTGCTGGATGTGAAGCCTGCTTGAGATTCTCTCTCTCCCTCCCTCTCTGCCCCTCCCCACTCACGCTCTCTCTCTCTCTCTCAAAAAAAAAAAAAAGGGATCCCTGGGTGGCACAGCGGTTTAGCGCCTGCCTTTGGCCCAGGGCGCAATCCTGGAGACCTGGGATCGAATCCCATGTCAGGCTCCTGGTGCATGGAACCTGCTTCTCCCTATGCCTGTGTCTCTGCCTCTCTCTCTCTGTCTGTGTGACTATCATAAATAAAAATAAAATAAAATAAATAAAAAATAAAAAAAGAAGACCTAAATATCACCTCTCAAAATTTTAGTAATGCCTCCCAATCACTGTGCCCAAAAAACAAAAATCACTCCAAAGTGAGGTTCCACTTCTTTGATAACCATTGTTCTAGAAAAGACCAGGGGCAGCAAACTCTATGGTCTGCTGTGGGTTGCCTTGGTATGGCCTATGAGCCAAGAATGGCTTCCCCTTTTAAAAGGGTTGTGAAGAGGTGGAGAAGAAAGAGGAGAGGAGAGGAGAGGAGAGGAGAGGAGAGGAGAGGAGAGGAGAGGAGAGGAGAGGAGAGGAAGAGAAGAGAAGAAAAGGAAAAGTGGCAGATTACATGGCCCACGATGCTGAAGACAGGATTTTGCTGACCCCTGGTCTAGGCTCCAGAGGAGAAATGATGCCATATGGTCCATTTCCACCAGCAATTTATAACCTAATAGGGAGTGCATCGCCTGGATTCAGAGAAGCAGAACCCCGTTAAGGGATTTATGATAGGGGCCAGGCCTTATACAATTATGAGAGCTGGTGACGAAGTCCACAGTAGGCAGATGCCTTAGTGTCTGGTGGTGGCTGGAAGTTCCTGCAGGGTGATGGAGCCATCAGTCAGGGAGCAAAGCTGCACCTGAAGCGTGGGGTGGGGGGGTGCAGAATGGAACCCACCAGAACCAACTGGACCTGATGAAGATAAAGCAGAACCCATGTCTCTCACCACCTCCAATCTCAGCGGGGAGAGTGACCTGCGCCCTCTGCCAGAGGGCTGCACACATGCCCTCAATCTGTCTCCGTGTTCTCACAATACCCAGCATAGCATGGTCACCTGTATCCTGGTCTGTGACCTCGGCCGGACACGGAGGCCCGAGGCTTCATCTGTCTTGCTCATGCCTGTATCCCGTGCTCCAAGCAAAACACTTCACACAGTCACTGCTCAATCAATATTTGAGGAATTATTGGGGAAAAAAATCCAGGAAAATATTGGGAAAAAAAATCTTCCTATGCAGTGCTGGGAAGAATGAGGCTGGGCAGAAATGAGGCAGATGATTCACTCAAGAGAAGGATGCCTCTGTCACTTCACGTGTGCTAATTCTAATTCTAGAGGTTGTGTACTTCACGTGACCATGCCAGGCTTGAGTGGTAGACAGGAGCAACTCCCTAGGCCAACAGGGAGAGCCCGCCCAAGGGGTGTCCTGGACTCTGCTCTCCTCGAGAAGTGGTGGCACACATGCTGGCTCCTCACACAGGAAGGCTGACCTCACCTGGCAGGAGCCCTGTGCTGGGCACCTTCTGGCAGGGAAGTAACAGGTGCACCACCCCTGTACGGCTGCAAATAAAGGATGCCTGCCGTGTGAAGAGTGACCAGCACACAAAGAAAACATCAGGCAAAATTCCACCAGGACTTTGGGACACATCATAGTATTATCATCACTAAAGAACAGCTGACTTTTCTAGAGCATTTTATGCACCAGACACTCTGCTAAGTGCTCCAGGTGCATTATTTCAGGTAAGCCTCACAGTGAAATCTACAATTATCACCACTGTACAGATGGGGACATTGAGGCTTTGAGAGGTTAGGTTGTTTGCCCAAGATTATAGAGCTAGAAGGAGGTAGAGCTGGAATGCAAACCAACATATGCTTCGTCCAGAGACTGCAGACCTGGCTGCCACCTAGCCTCAGTCGCTGAGAAAACAGGAGCCTGGTGTTCTGGGGGGGGGGGGGGTTTGTTTTTGTTTTTAAGAAATAAAAACTGTTCTCTTGCAGTGGTATGTAAACAGTTTTAGTAAACATTGGAAATCTATTCCAGGATTAAAGTTCCAAAGCTACTAAATATACACATCTAATATACACAAATATACACATCTAATAAACACTACACGTATATAATATACATATATTAAATCATATCATATTAAGTGACAAATGCAGTGAATCAGGAAATTCAAGCAAACAAAAAATACCCAACAGCATCATATAGAGCATCAACTGCTTACCAAACAGATATTGAATGGTCTGGAAATGTGACTTATTAATTAAGGTCTTCTACAGATCCAGCCTTATCTAAAATCCCTATCTGTTCTGGATGAATAATAATTTTCAAACACTGTTGGTAATTTGAATATTTATTTATTTTTTTTATTTTTTTTTTATTTATTTATGATAGAGAGAGAGAGAGAGAGAGAGGCAGGGACACAGGCAGAGGGAGAAGCAGGCTCCATGCACCGGGAGCCCGACGTGGGATTCGATCCCGAGTCTCCAGGATCGCGCCCTAGACCAAAGGCAGGCGCCAAACTGCTGCGCCACCCAGGGATCCCGGTAATTTGAATATTTAGATCCACCTAAGCTCAAATCAAAGCCCAATACTTCTGAACACTTATCAGTATTATAGATACAACGGATTTAGATTAATTTCACATGTGTTTTTGACAATGTGCTGGGAATCGTTTGAAATATAAAGATCAATAAGACTCATAGGGATTTCAGAGAATGTATAACATAGAAACATCTGCAAAGAACTGCAGAATGAGACAAATGGTAATAGAAGTCCAATACCTGGGGGATCCCTGGGTGGCGCAGCGCGGTTTGGCGCCTGCCTTTGGCCCAGGGCGCGATCCTGGAGACCTAGGATCGAATCCC